GATAACTAATCACTGTAAATAATGTATTTGAAAGGTTAATAGAATAAGTGAATTATGTAAGAATTCTTTTATTGCATAAAGTACTTCTATAGTTTTAATGAGCAGGTAGACTTGTTAATAATAGATAAATAAAAATGAGACAAAAATAACTTATTAATTTTTCTTCAAAGACCAAGAGAGGCCAATGTGAGAGGTGATGATATGGGGTTAAAAATAGTACAGAAGCACTGATAGTTTGTTAATATACTGTATGGTGTTAGTGATAAATAGAGAACAGATTAGAACCTAATTTATGAACTGTTAATGAACACTAGATTAATTATTTTGTTGATCCTGATCACCCTATTTTTCTTGCTTTTGGGAAACAAAGCTTCATCTATCAGTTTATTTTATACTCTATGGATCCTCTTATTTGTTGTATTTTACTCAGGTGACCCCTAAGGCCCCAGGGGAGCGGGGACCATGAAATTCATAATTTTTGTTCCTTTACTCATAGATGTTCTATGCCAAAATTAATTGATATCGGTTAATTGGTTCCAGAGAAGAAGCTGAAAATGTTCAAATGTTAATAATGACACATGCTGGACGACGGCAGACGAACACATATTGCAAAAGGTCACCTAAGTGACTCAGCTGACCTTAAAATGGAGGGAAGACCCATTTATATAGAAAAATTTTGTTATAGTATGATGAATTTATCATTTTTGCCCTCTTTGGTGTGTACAATCTACTTCATAGATGAATAATTTTAATACTTTTGAGATTGTTGCAAATTGAAGATATTTTACAAAAAGTATATTACTAGTACGTTGACTGAAATGTCAAAGAAAATTGTGTTATAATTGAAATTAAATTTTCACTTTCTTATCTGTCAAAGCATAGGCATTTTTCTCGGCTTGTTCACCCATCTTCTGTGTATTTTAACCAAATTAAAGGCATCATAAAATTCACTCTTCAGTGAATCTAAGCATCATCCAGGATTGAGTAATTACTGTAGGGCACCCACAACTCTTTGAGGGGCCCTGATAACTCAAATCAGAAACCAGAAGTAAAGATTCTGACAAGACTTTACCAATTCGTACTTATAAAGTAGCACTTGGACTTACAACTATGCACCAGCAATAAATAGAATCAAAGTACTGTGAGTACTGATAGACGGTGGCATGAATGATTTTGTTTGATTGTTTGTTTTAATTAAAACGTCCCTCTCGGGAATTTTTCACTCATAATGAGACGCGTACGCCACCATTGCCATTGGTGGGATGCAAATTTTATATCTATACTCAGCACTCAGGGACATTGTGCAGCGAGAGATCTTTTTTTCTGGCCAGCACTTACTGCGACACGGGACCTCAGTTTAACGGTTTCATCCGAAGGACCGGTCTCCACGTCCCGCAGTGGGATTCGAACCCGCGACCTAAGGATCGACTCCTTACTCCTTGACTCTAGAGCAAACGCTCTAATCACTGGCCACTGGCATGAATGAATTAAATTAAATAAAATGATATGAGAATCTGTAAAATGATATGGAAATTATGAAAGTTTGTTGCAATTTTTCACAATACATGTATTTGATGAGTTATTTTATATTTGCGTCAGTATAATGAGGACATGTATTAATTGAAGTTGTTAAACAATTTATTGCATGAAATTTTCTACATTTATTTAGTTTTATTATAAAATAATGTTTGAAGAAAAAAAATGCTTTGAAATGCCAGAAACGAAAGCTTGATCATTTCAATCTTTTTTTTCATTAATTAATCCTTAAAACAATTCATTTTACCCAAAATGTTAAATTAAGGGAATCAAAGGTTCTAATATATTCATGTGGTGACTGATTATATTTATTTTAAGATAGCTTTCTATACATGCATGTGTGGTTCCATTTAGGCGCTCTTCCAAGTTAGAGGTGCATTTTTTTTTAGCGTAAATGTGTTTGAGATATTTGAGGAACAATTAATAAACCTATTGTGAGTTGCAGATATGAGCGAGTATCAGTAAATTCCGAATTCATTGTACCTTCTTCGCATAATTTGAAAATAATCTTATTAGAGTGCATTTCAGTGAAATCAAGTATCAAATGAAAAAGTTAAATTTTACAACAAAAAGTGTCATGAAATCGTGGTGTTTTGAAGTTAGAAATTGTGATTTTATAATTTAAAATCTTATACTCGGTGATTAATTATCAAATTTTGCTAATCTGGAGTAAAATTGAACTCACAATATTTTTTTTAAACAAAAACCAACTTTTCTTAAAATATATGGTAAAAAGGGAAATGATGAATCACTTTTGGCGTTGTACTGTAGATTGTGCGACATAAATCATATGCTGAAAGATAATGAAATAGACTTTATCTTTGGATCCCCATTTTTGCCAAATTTCCTGTAATTTACTTATATATATATATATATATATATATATATATATATATATATATATATATATATATATATATATATATATATATATAATATATATATAATTATATATATACATACATACTGTTCGAAAAGAAAAGAAAAAAGAACAGAATAACAAAATATCTTTCACCTTCTATTTATCTTAATACGCACTGACCCCGCTAGTCATTGCATAATACGAAGTTTTGAAAACACATGTAGGAGAAGACTGACCTAAATTAAGTCAACTGAATTCGCAAGAAAATCCTAATATTCCATGTACATGCATTTGTGTATTTTTTTTCTTACACTTTTTAAAGGGTAAATTTTATTCGAGGCACGATAGAATTTTCAAAATTCAAATTAAATATATGGGTAACTTTTGTTTGTCACAGTCTTATAATTATAGCTTTGATAAATTAGCATCCTTTCAGTAGTTTTTGTGTCCGAGATAATTAGGCAATGACTTTTGTTTTTAGATAGAACCGAAATTAACTTTGCAAAATGGCATCGTATCTGCCTTCAACAACTCTCTTTTATGTAAACTTTAAGAGGACGTGATTCTTTTTTCCATTCCAAAAATATATCTTTTTCTAATAGAGTATCGTCAACAGATACTAGAAATTCCATTAATCAAAAAACACCGTAAAATTTCAATAAACTGTACAAGTATTATTGTATAAAAATTCCACAAAACGTCTCAAATAAAACATGCAGTTCTGCAATCAGGCCCCAAGACCATAAACTGAGAATAGACTTAAGTCAAAATTTTGATTTTTATTATCTTGAGTTTTATTTAATGTATTAGCTTAAAAATTTGCAATTTTATAATAACATTTACATTCAAATATATGATAAAAATTTTGTTTCATTATCAAGATTATTTATAAAGTTATATTGGTTTAAAATTTTGACTTAAGTCTGTTCTCAGTTTATGGTCTTGGGGCAAGGAATACGCAGCCCTTTAATCATGTTAACTGAATTTTCGTAAATGGAGAAATTTGGGGATCGACGCTTTCCTAGCATGGAGTATCTCGTAATTAGGGAATACCAAATTGGGAACATCTCGTAATAAGCGTTTGTCACACATCCAACGGCGAAGAAACCGCCGAGAGTGTGTTGGTTTAACAATAATTATTTTATTTCCTAAAATGGTAAGGTGTAATGTGAAACCCATTACCCATAAATATTTTTCCACTTATTTTTTTTTCTTTTAATAAATTTTATTGAAATTTTACATTTACACAACGTAAAAAAGGATGTGTATACGAACTAACTTTTTGCATTTGTTTCATGTTCAGCAAACTTTATGTATGAATTGACTTTTGTGGTTTGCATACGAATTGACTCCTTATATACGAATCAGTTTTTGTACGAATTAACATTAAGTCGGCGTAGTTTAATAAATATTCATGAGGTGAGAAATATTAAAACGGCAAATATCAGGAATTAAACTTTGCGCCCATCAACAAAATGTCATTGAAATAACTTGAGAAACATGTACATTTTATTATCGAACTCGAAACGACCCCACTTTCATTATTTTGTCTCTGCAAAAATCACCGCTAGGGTCCCCGTGATTTTACACTGTTGTTTATTCATAGCCCAGACCAGCAGCAATAGCCTGTGGCTATAAATAGCCACCGTCTAATTATGATCCAGGGTTAGTCTCTTTTTGTGGTAAGATTTATTGCAACCAGACTAAAACTCTGGGAAGAAAAGCCTTTTAAAAAATTTTTACAGGAAATTTTATTTTAGTAACCAAGGCAACACCCTTCTTTGTAATCAAAACACGATAAATAAAATCAGGCCTTTCAAAATCTGCAGGTACCTGTTTCTTTTACCCAGCTTAAATCATGATTGTACCTGCCACAATATTTGAAGAAGAAAAATTTGATATTTTAATAAAATCGCTTCCACAAGGTACTACCTATATCGGTAAAAGTACTGCCTGTTTCGAATATTTTTGAAAGCCCTGAATTTATGTATCTTAGTGTAGACTACTTGTTTGTCAAGTTTTATTGAAATCAGACCAAAAATGTAGGAGGAGTAGCGTTTTGAAAGTATTTCACAGAAATTTCTATTTTTAGTAACCATGGCAACACAGTTCATTGATATCCAAAAACAATACACAGAATTATGTATATCTTAGTGTTGTCTACTTGTGTGCCAAGTTATACTGAAATCAGACCAAAACTGTACAAGGAGTAACATTTTGAAAACTTGTTTATGGACAGAAAGGCAAACAGATGGACAGACACTGTACTATCGCATAAGCTCTTCTGGTGGCTAAAAATAAATCCGATATACTTCACAAATTTTTATTTTCACAATCATTATATTCTACAAATGCAATAGATATTACAACAGAATATATAATTATATAATTTTTGGGTAGATTTTGATTGTAAAATATTTTTTTTTTTTTAGAAAGTAAGCTGAATCATACAGATCTGCATAATTTACAAAGATTAGGCCTCTATACAGTTCTTGCTATGCACATGAAATGTGTTTAAAAAATTACAACAAAATGGTAGAAATATATGTATATGTTATTTTAACTCAGATCAATAGAAACTAAAGCTAATATAAGGATACAAATTATGCTTCTTGGGTATACATGTGATATATATTATACGCAGTAAAATATAAATCATGCTTTGGATTCTCCTTTATCCTCCTCAGGATAGACTTTATTGTTGCAATTCAGTTTGGGAAGGTAAAGTTTACCTCCTCTCTGCTGTTCTTCTTTCATGCCAGAGGACATGGTTTCTTCAACATCAAGAGACGGAAGTTTTGGATGTATTTTGCTGCTTCTTTTTAAACCTGTGGTACCAGAACTTGGCTCTGGTTTCTTGGCAGTTTCTTTCTTTGGAGCATTGTCTTCATATTTTCCTTGTATGTCATTTGTTTCCTCTTTTTCCAATTTCTCTGACTTACTTTCAGGTACAAGATTAATGTTTCTGGTTGATATTAAGGACTTTACCCCCACTGGAATTAAGGGTTTGAATGTAGTAGAGGTGTGACGAGCAAAAACCTCAAATGTTTTTGCAGTGTCTATAGATGGAACTTGATCTTCTGTATCAATATTTTCTGATTTTTCATCTTCACTATCAGTCAGAAATTCCTGACAAAAAAGAAATCAAAGAGTCTAATGGTGATAAAACTGGAAAAACAAGAGGCCCAAGGGCCACATCGCTCACATCAGTTAAGTATTGAAAAGCTTAAATGCATAAGTGGTCCCAACCTACCCCTAAAAAGGGAGTGGGGGGGGGGGGGGGTCATGATTTGAACAAACTTGAATCTACACCACCTCAGGATGCTTCCATATAAATGACCAATCATAGCTTTGCTGTTCTTGAGAAGAAAATTTTTTGAAGATTTTTCCTATATATTCCTATGTAAAACTTTGATCGTCCATTGTGGCCCCACCCTACCCCCGGGGGTCATGATTTGTACAAACTTGAATCTACACCACCTCAGGATGCTTCCAAATAAATATGACCAATCATAGCTTTGCTGTTATTGAGAAGAAGATTTTTGAAGATTTTTCCTATGTACACCTATGTTAAACATTGATCGTCCATTTGGGCCCCACCCTACCCCCGGGGGTCATGATTTGAACAAACTTGAATCTACACCACCTCAGGATGCTTCCAAATAAATATGACCAATCATAGCTTTGCTGTTCTTGAGAAGAAGATTTTTGAAAAATTTTCCTATATATTCCTATGTAAAACTTTGATCGTCCATTGTGGGCACACCCTACCCCCGGGGGTCATGATTTGAACAAATTTGAATCTATACTACCTGACAATAATTCCACCTGAGTTTCATCTTTCCTAGCCCACTGGTTCTTGAGAAGAAGATTTTTCAATAATGCCATTAATTTTTTGCTATTTCGTAATTATCTCCCCTTGGAGGAGGGCGTGGCCCTTCCTTTGAACAAACTTGAAACCCCTTCACCCAAGGATACTTTGTGCCAAGTTTAATTGAAATTGGCCCTGTAGTTCTGGAGAAGAAGATGAAAATGTGAAGAGTTTACGACAACAATGACGCCAACGACAGACAGTGGACAAATTTTGATCAGAAAAGCTCACTTGAGCCTTCGGCTCAGGTGAGCTAACAATTCACTGGTATGAAATTGAAATATAAATTACAAAACAGCTTATTTGTACAATTATGCATAAAACTGTTCAGGTTTTACATAGACACATTTATACTGTATGTATACTTAAGTATTTTTGAAAGTAAGCAGATTTGTAATACAAGGAGTATCCAGTTCAATCATGATTAATGCAGTCAATGTTCATCACCATTGTTTTATAAATATATTTATTATACCCAGGGAATTTTTCCTTTATAAAGAAATCATCTAACCTCAGCTGTATCCTGTAACCCACTATTGAACCAGGGCTACTTTAGAGACAATATGGATGTGCACTGTCTTAAACATGAACAATGTGCTGATTTCCACCCAAACAAACATGTGATTGTGTAAAAGTTACTAAAGGGTGAATTAAAAAAAAATGACCAAATGCATATTTATCAACCCACACTAAAAATACAGGCAATGAAAATAGATTTCTATGTCTCAGCATATGTCTTTAGATAGTGTCTAAATACCTGCCAAATATCTCGTTGATATCTCAATTAACAAAAAAGTTATGCCCAAAAATGATACTAAAATTGTCAGGAGTGCAACACCTTTTTGTGACATTTTGAAATTTCAATATTTTTTGGAGATCTGTGAAATAAATAATAATGCTTTATGTTGAAAATAAAGACTTTCCTGATAATATTCAAAGTATTGAGCTTTAAATGTGGGCTGTAGTAACTTTTGTTTAATCAAGTTGTTGTCATGGCTGATGTTTAAAAAAATGTCATACCATGTCAGGAGTGCAACAGAAAAAATGTAGTGTTGCCAAAAAAACATCAATTGTAAAATTCTGAAAGAAAATTAAGACAAAAAAGAATTTTCGAAGTGTAAAACAATAACTGATAGACATTTTAAAACTTAAAAATGTTATATAAATCACAAGCAGCATTAATTAGAGTCAAGTATATGTGCATACCTAATAATGTCAGGAGTGCAACATTTGATGTTTTGCTCCCAAGCATGAAAAAACTATTATCTTTATATGATTTTCTGATTTTTATTTTGGAAAAGAAAGACACAAAGAACATTTTTACCAAATAGATTTATCAATTACAGGATCTGTCTGTGCTTCAGATCAATATTTCTATGGTCAGGAGTGCGTCACATTTTTTTAAAGATTCAAGTTGTGTGACAAAAACACTTCTATTCATGCTTAGACGTATTCATTAATTAATAATGATCTTTTTGTATAATTTAATACTAAATTATTGACAGTTTTATTATTAAAATCCTTCCTTTTTCAATTTTATCAATTCAGATGTGTTTTTATCTTTTTTGTGATTTTTTTAATGAATGTTAAAAATAAACACACTAAAACATTGTCATAAAATTCAAGTAATTCCTCCTCAACTTCACTGAAACAACTGAACAAGTTCTTATGTAATTTTCACTTCACAATTCTACTTTAAAGGTCCCAATACTTTCGGTCAGGAGTGCAACAAATTTGTTAGAATTATATATCATCCAATAAGAATAAAAATAAAGAAAAAATGATGAGTAGAATTTTTTTAGTGGGTAACTGTGTTTGTCCTCTAGAGGAAAATATGCTATAGAATATATTTTATCTTCTAAATATACATTGAAGCTAGTTTTTTGGCATAAATAGGAAATAATTCCAGATAAAATGTGTATTTTTAATACTTTCATCTGTTTTAATTATGAAGTATTGGACTATAAATATTGCACAATTTCATTACCACTTCATGTTGCCAACACTTTATGAATTTTTGTGTTCTATGAATTTACTTTTAAATTTACTGCAGTCAGGAGTGCAACAAAACTGCTTTATAATTACCAATGCTTTTTAATTATCTTTACTAAAAATGAGTTGAAAAAAAATGTTTGATACTATTTGATGTTCAAAACACTATGTCTATCAACAAATTACAGAAATTTTCTAGTCAATTCAGGGGATAGTTTTCATCATTTCACATATAGTTTTATATACAATTTATGTATATTACACTTTGCAAATAATTATGTGTTAAGGTCTTCAAAATATGAAAAACCTGCCGTAAACGATCAAAAATATCAAAACGACAAATTAATTTACAAAGTAAGAATGGGTTATTGTGTGTTATAATTTTTAAAACAATGTTAAATAAAATACATATCAGATGTCAGGAGTGCAACACAATAATGTAACATAGGGTCACTTCAAAATCTAGTATTTTTTGTAAGAGAACTCGTATATAAAAATTCTTTTTTGGCTTAGATTTAAAGAATTGGCTTGAACGGACAAAAAAGTGAAATTTGGGGAATTTTATTGCTTCATATTTTTTTCATATTAAAACTTTTCAAACCAGAATTGAAAAAATAATGTAAAATAACAATCAAAAAGCCAATTTTTTGTCACACATACAAGAGAAGATACTCAATCAAGGTCTAGATTTGATCATTTATACCCCTTTTACCATTTTGAAGCATAAAAAACTATAATTTCTTGTGATTATGTATTTTAGAAAGTCTTTTAAGGTGTAATGATATTTTCTTTTTTCAAAAGAAATTTTACTAATAAAAATTCTGAAACTTTTTAATCCAATTGTCTATTCTATTGCCACTTCAGGATTTTAAACTAGAATGCATGTGCAATATGATGATATAAGTGAAAAATATGTTAGAAGTAGCTGAATTTTTCCAAAAAAATTCAGTTTGGTAGTCATTTTTTTTTAATTCACCCTAAATACATGCTCTTTAGAAAGTGTTATTTTAAGTTTAACCTTAATGTTCTTGAAGATTTTTATTGTTTGTCATATGCTTGTTTATTATCCTTTTCGAAGTGTAGTGTGACCTTTTCCTTAATTGCATATTGGTAAACCTTATCATAAATGTTAGGTGGAGATGCATATCAAGTTCAGTCTTACAGGTGAGCTAGGTTTGATGAAGGTGACGGAATCATCCAAGGTTTGCAAAATGGGGAAATAGTTGCTGTCTTGGAGGACAATAAACTTGCTATTGTCCTCATAGCCAGTAATTGGGTATAATATTATATATATATATATATATATATATATTGGGGATGTCAAATCGGTCAATTTTTGATAATCGGTTACTCGGACGTTTTTCCAATCGAGTACCCGGGTACTCGGTAAAAATATAAATACAAGTGTGTTAATTTTCTTGAGCCCCGTTAAGCTATGTTAAACTCCAAAGCTGTTTTTATCACATTTGTAAATGTATATAAACATCAAGTCCAACGGGGATGATTTTTTGGTACTACATTTATTTATCAAATTAATACAAAAGACACAATTAATACATCAAATATAAAAAAAAAATTGTTTACAGTTCTTCTTTAGGATCTATTTCATCAACGCAAAAGGAGGACAATCTGTTACGCAGGTTTGTGATGATTAGACTAGCGAAAGAGAAGGAACGGAAGTTTTTGGGATCGCTAATCTAATATTATTTCATGTGTTGGTTGTTTCCCCCGTATACACTAAGCTTATTACGCAAACTGACTTTCAATATTTTTTTAATCTTTAATTATTTCTAAATATTTCTCAACTTTTGAAGTGTGTACCAGCATGTCCGATTTCGCTGCCGTATATTAACTTCATAATTTTAAAATGATTTGAAGATAATAGACCATATTTAAACGATGTTCATTGAAAACAATCATTGAAGCCATCCAAAAATTAAGGACCACAATAGATGAGAACAGCTGTATACCAGGTGATTGGTCACTAATTACTGTATACACACTGCCACAGGCGATAACGGGTGTTCCACAGGTGTAGATGACGACACGCTAATTGCTGCATGCATATTAAAGTTATTTGTTGGATAAGTTTTTGATAAAAATATGTACTTTGAAATAAGAAAAAATGCACATCCGAGTAACCGAGTACCACTTTTAGTATTCGATACTCGGATGTTCGATCGAGTACCCGGTTAACCGGGTACTCGTTGACATCCCTAATATATATATATATATATATATATATATATATATATATATATATATATATATATATATATATATATATATATATATATATATATATGAAATGAATTTAATTTTTGAAGATTCATGAGGACATGAACTACGACACTTCATGCCGGCATATTTCATGAAGTGCGTAAGTGACTCCATTTTGTATAAAAATTTTAATATTCATTGAGATGTAAATACATTTAAGGTGCTTCTTTTGAAGGATTAAAGATCATCTTCAATGGCACTTGTGGTGATAAAAAAACTGTACTAAATTAAGTATACATACAGTATTATAATCAATATCACTGAGAAATATTTAGTAAACCTGTTGAGCACTCTCTGCATTAGGTACTTCATCTGTTACAGCCTCTGAAATTTTAAATTACATATGATAAATACAAAGCTTTGATACAAAATCTCTCTCTTTCTCTCTCTCTATATGTATATACAGTTGAACTTCAGTATCTTGAACACAGATATCTCGAATACCATGGATATGTCAAAGTGATTGGGAAGTCCTAACCACATATTTCTTAAGTATTTTACCCTCTATATCTCGAACCCTTGGATATCTCAAAGTTTTATCTTTGTTCCTTTCGAGTTTGAGATAACGAGGTTTGACTGTACAGTAAAACTTGTCTAATCCAGCCACCATTGGTTCCAAAGAAATTGGCCGGATTAGACAACATTCCAGATTACACAGCATTTTTTACAATTGAAATTACTGAAAGGGACTTGAAGTTTACAACATATTAGACAAGGTCTTTGAATACACAACATCCGGATTAGACAAGTTTCACTGTATATAGTTTTTCTTGACATGACCAAATCAACTCCACTTGGAAATGGAACTCCAGGCTTGATCATGTCAAATGACTATCAAAATTTGGTGAGAAAACTATAATGTTCATTATTTTTGTGAAGCTTGTTTATAGATAATTAGAAGGAGGAAAGTATTTATATTCTTTACAAATTAAGTTTATTTAAAATATATGATCATCTTTGGGCCTGAGCTCTAGAGACACACATTTCCCACTCTTGTAAAGTGCAAATAGCTTTCTGCCATCAAACATAAAGTTTACTTAAAAAATGTTTATGATTAATAAGATTTCTACAGTTATAATGTTTACTAGTAATAAAATTTGAATATATGACCATGCAAGCCCCCAACCTTAGCCTTGAATTCATGACCAAGGGACATAATATTCACAATCTTGGTAGACAGCTAATCTTTATTAACAAAGTTTGCCTAAAGATGTCGATAAGTAAAATTAAAAGAATTTTAAAGATGCACTGGGGTAAAGTAAAAATGTTTTCTCAATATATGATAAGTTTAGCCATACAGGGGACTTAACCCTGGGCCTGGGGAACATAAGTGTTGCAATTTTGGTAGAATAGTTCATTTTAATCATGCAATTCTTATTCTGGTACAATTCCATGGGTTTAAGGCGATAGTCATATGTGAACAACTATGCCCCACCAGGGGACATGAATTTCACAATTTTGATAGAAGGCTACCTTCCCTTTTATAATGCAAATATATTTCATGCAAAATTTTCATGTCAGAATTATTTATTCTTTTTGTCAATAGATATTATATATGTAAGTTGGTTGAAACTTGTCTAGTCATTTCAGAAAAGAAGCTGAAAATGTTCTAATTAAGTTACAGTAATGATCAACAGTAAGTCTACGGGAAAAAAATGTGACAGAAAAGCTCAATCTTTCAGTTCAGGTGAGCTAAAAAGCCTTTCTATAGTCCCAAACTATATAAATCTCTACCAAAAGGGAATATGGCTAAAGCAGGCTTATATAACATAGAGATTTCAAAAATATGGCTGCTAAATCACAAAAGTTCATCTGACTTTTGACTCGGGTAAGTTAACTCCACAATGCAGATTATCTTGTCAAATTCACCAATATCTTTTACCTGGCATATGGTTTTTGAAGCTGACTGCTGACTCAAGTGATGCTTTAGAACCAAGCAATCTATAAAATAAAACAACATACATTTATAGAAATAGGAAATTAAATAGGAAATGCTCAAGAATCACATGGCTATTTAAGAAACCAAAACGTAAAATGCTCACAAGGGTCACCTTGTTCCCTCTCTTACATATGAGTACTACACTATACTAGACTTCAAGTTTCAAGCTAAAACATGTACAGTTACTGTACACACCAGATTTCCAAGAAACCTTTTTTTTTTTTTCAAGATAGTCATTTGATCTTTTTAAGCATAACAAATTTTACCAAGAATTTGGGTTATTGTTATATATTTACACTTGTTGTGTTTTTCTACGTAATCAACTGTGAAATTGATTTGAAAGTCATTTTTGTGTATACTCATGCGTAGAAATATACACGGAGAAACTCGAGCTAAAATGACATCAGAATAAGGCTACAGAGACGTTAGTAAAAATATGACGATATAAGGCAGCAAGAAATTCAAACATTGAGTATATTTTTGGTGCATTTAAACATTTAAAATGTAAATATAAGGAATGTTTTTAAGTTTAGTGTGAATTATTGGTGTGTAAATCACACAGACTTGCACGTAGTCATATTTTTCATGAAGTGCTAGCGCGCTTCATGAAATATGCCTACGTGACAAGTCTGTGTGATTTACACACCAATAATTCACACTAAACTTAAAAACATTCCTTAAATGTATTTATAGGTTTTAGAAAAATATCATCAACATGATATTTTTTTTTTACTGTTGATGAGTTTGTAGCATTTATTCTTCATCTGATTAAGTTGCACATTGTCAAATATTTCTCAGAACAAGAGGATCATGGGCTACAATGCTCATCTAAGTAATCTTGGTAGATATTTGTTCATTAAATTGTCTGAGACAACCAACACATTTGATAGAAAGTGATGCAGAATTATAGCTACTTGATCAATCTGTTTTTAGCCCAGCTCATTGCTCAGTAATAGCTGACCTTTGTCACATTGAGACAAGGCTGAAGGCTTAGAGGTTAACCATTACCTGACCAGGTACGAAGATTCATTCTAAAAGTCATTAATCATATTATGATCAGGAATTTTTTCACACTATAGTTCTTGTTTTAAATAAATATAAACACTCATAATGATTATAATGTATTGTATAACAACATATCATATTTAAATTTCAACAAGCTCTGAGGTATATCTCATGAAAGAGAGTTTTGATCAATTGGAGAGCATCATTTAATAATGATGTACAGAAAAGTGGGAGGATCGATGGTAAGATAATGCATATTAATATGAAATCAGTTTGAAGTGGTCTAAATTTTACAAAATTTAATATAAATTAATGTAGATTTCAGCTAAAAAAATCATTTGCAACTCTTGATGTCTTTCCTTCAAGCTCAGAAAAACATGTCAAATGTGTGATGATCATCTTATCAAATGTGGCTGCAGTATTGTCAAGAAGCCTCTTTCCATTTTAGTAAATGATTGGTTATAATGAATAATACTGAGGGCCTTGTTATGTATGCATGGGTACTGTGCAATGAGGATGATTCCTCTTATTAGTAAAGCCAGAGGTGTTGCAAATGAAAATATACATACATTTTTCCATATTCCTGTTGCCTGTAAATAAATAAATAAATACATAAAATAATAAAATGCAAACTTGATATAATTTTAAAAAAGGCTTAACGTAATGAGTAAAGAAGAGGCCTATGGGCCTTGACAGTCACCAGAGTTTTACAATTTCCTCAGGCTATGAGCACTTTTGGCCCACCTGGAACTGGTATGGACTAAGTAACAAAATTTTTACCTTTTGGTAATGAATCTATAATTATTATTCATGCAGCTTGTATCCTAAGAAGTTCAGGAGTAAATTTCAAAATATAACCCCAGTTATGATCCTTGGTCCCATGAAACATATCATACATGTATATACAATCTTATGTTTTGGAATGGGTTCGCTGCTCTTTATAACTGTACAATCAATTTGTCTGCTATATATCCACAAGTAAATAAGACTTTCAGAGGTATACAGTAATTCGATATGTGACTACCGTATATACTCGCCTATAAGTCGGTTTTTTGGGAGTTAATTTTTGGTCCCAAAGACTATGTCCGACTTATAGGCGAGTCATCAAAAAATTTGTAATTTTCTGGACGGCCAAATGCAGCATTTCTTAAAATAACGCCAAAGAATATCGTTGACAATGGTCTGGACATATTATATATTATTTATTTATTACAATATTTTGCATAAAGTACATCTATTTACACAATTAATTAGTTTTTCTTTAGTGTGTATTGCATATTTTGTTAATTATTTACATAACTATTCCTTTCAGTAACTTCTTGTGACTTACGGCACTGTGCTGTACATGTAACTCTATTGTTTATCGGTAAAATTGAATTGCGAACCCGATTAAATGCCGGTCAACATTAATGATTTATATACATGTGACATCTAAAATAACTTTGACAACAGATTTTATTTTATTAAAAAAATTTCAGAATAAAATTCTTGACTATTAAAACTCAATTGTTTAGGGAATTAATTGTTTTTCATTTAACTGGTAACTGATTCACAGTTTTCTCAGGACGCGTGCCACTAAATAAATACGGTGTCATGGAAGGGATATAGGTAATTAAGAGACGATAATTGTTTACCCGTACAGGTAGGTAAATGAAGGATAATTGCTAATAATAGATGGCTTGGACATTGAGCACCTCAAAATTATAAAATTTCTCATAAATATCATCGGAATGATGACAGATTCGTTACATTGTTCATCACCATGCCAAAGAGACAGAGATCCGCCTATGATTCCAACTTTAAGCTTAAAGTTGTTTCATACACTGAAACCCATACCAATGCTGCGGCTGAGAGAGAGTATGGCATCAATGAAAAACTGATCAGAGACTGGCGAAAAAAGAAGAGTTCCCTGCAGGCAGTAGAGAGTCCAGTGAAGAAAATGCCCACTACCCCCTCACCTGTTTCCACGCTTAAGAACAGTTAATGGAATGGGTGACTGACCTCAGAAATCAAGGGTACATCGTCACAAGAAACGCCATTCGTCTCCAAGCCATTCAGAGAGTCAACGCAGATAAGACACTTGCCCCGGTTGACTTCAAAGCGTCCGCAGGATGGTGCAGTCGCTTTATGAAACGCCACGGCCTGACTCTACGACAGCGGACCCCTATTGCCCAGAAACTGCCTGCCGACGTGGAGACCAAAGTCCAGAACTTTCATCATTTTGTCATAAAACAACGCAGAATCCACGACTTCCCTATCAACACCATAGGAAATATGGACGAAACCCCGATATCGTTTGACCTGCCGTCAAATAGGACAGTCCATATCAAGGATGAAAAAACTGTCTGTGAAAACGACCGGCGCGGAGAAATCACATGACTGTTGTTCTTAGCTGTTTGGCCGACGGGACAAAGTTAAAGCCAATGGTCATCTTCAAGCGTAAAACCATGCCCAAGGAAAAGTTGCCGTCTGGTGTCCTGGTTCAAGTGAACGAAAAAGGCTGGATGACGGAGGATCTGTGCGATATGTGGCTGCAGAGAATGTGGGGAAACCGCCCTGGTGCCATGATCAACAAAAAAAGTCTTCTTGTGTGGGACATGTTCCGTGGTCACCTGTCGGACAAAGTGAAAAGAACTCTAAAACAAATGAGTGTCACCCAAGCTGTGATTCCTGGCGGCTGTACTAGTGTCCTTCAACCCCTGGACGTGTGCCTAAACAAGCCGTTCAAGACAAAGATGAGAGAATTCTGGACAGAGTGGATGATAAACGGGGAGAAAAAATACACCGCCGGAGGAAACGTCAAGCGACCCAGTTTGTGCCTAGTGACGCAATGGATCAAGGACGCCTGGGATTCAATCTCCACAGAGACTGTGTGCCATTCATTTAAGAAATGCGGGATCAGCAACAGTATGGACGGCAGTGAGGATGACATTCTGTACAGTGACTTCCTCAAGTCTGTGTCTGGCGAAAATACCCCAACCGAAGACAGTGAAAGCAGTGACAGTGAAAGCGATGATGACTTTTATGATGACATTCCTCTCTCTGAGCTACAGAAGCATCTCCTCCATGAAACTTGTGCTGACAGTGACAATGAATTTCTTTCCTGTCCCGACACTCGCCAGTGACTTCATAGCGACAACGATGTGTATTGAATTATATTGACTTGTATATCTATTGATGTGCTCTATAATAGTAACTATGAATGCTTTTATTCTCAATAGTGGCTCAGTATTTATTTAATAAAATTATTTAAAAAAAATATGCTTTTTTATTTCAAAGAACAAAAGTAGAAAAATATCGAGATCGGTGTACAAAATATACAAGACAAGGGAAATCACTCTAAAATCAAAACACTTTGAAGTTACCCAGGTAAATGAAATAGTGCAGCTCTTTAGTTTGTTGAATAGTGAAAATCATATCCCCAAATAATTTTTGTACACAGGTGAATACATAAGGAATACATATTGATATGAAATTTATTTGTTGAAAAAAAAAAATTAATAAAATATCGGCGTAATTTCTCAAAAAATTACTTGGAACACAGGCAAAAACATTACAACATCGATTTCAAATTGGCACCCGATTCTGGCAAAAAGTTGTACCGACTTATAAGTGGGTCAATGGCAAATCCCTCCAAAATAGCCTCAAAAAATGCAACCGACTTATAGGCGAGTATATACGGTAACTAAGTTAAAAGGGCTAAAAAGTGCCAGCAGGAATCAATTTTATTATTTTGTGAAACAGTTAAGCACTCATTTTAATTATTCAGACAATTTGCCTGACACAAATTCATGAGTAAAGAAAAGGATTTTCAATGATTTAAATGTAATTTTCAATAATGACCAACTTAACCCCTCCCTATGGTCTAAACCATGGGCCAGGGGACTTTTGAATTTCACAATTTCGGTGGGGACTATGTATTCATTATAACCATGTAATCAGGATGTATACATATATGACAAACTTAGCTACATCCTGGAGCCTGAACCCTGCATTTCTTACTTTTGGTAAAAAGCTCATTTGCTCATTGTAATCAAGTTAACAGTTAGACTGCACTGAAAAATTCAATCTGTTTGTAATTTTTAACCAAATTTTGAGAAAAAGGAGTCAATTTTCTATTGGGACAGGGTCCTTTTATCAGACCCTAATGCAATAGATATTAAGCCCTGAGACTTTTGAAGATTGCATTAATTTCAGTGATTTTGGTCCCATCCCTAAGGGCCTTAACAGGGTGGGTGGGTGGGGGATGGGGTGGGGTGGGGGTTTATCGACCTTGAAATTCGCAATTTATGCTTCCCTTAACCCATAGATGCTATATACCAGAAAAATTGGTTGAAAATTGGTTCAGTGATTCCAGAGAAGCTTAAAATTTTCAAAAGTTTACCACCAACAAAGACGACAGATAAAACAGCAATAAGTCACCTAAGTGACTCAGGTGACCTTAAAAAGAAAACATAAACTTGTCTGTATACCTTTTGATGGCCTTGTATCTGAAGATACCAAGAACAATTATAACAGCTAATGCAGCAACAACTAGAATCACAATCAGAGCTATCATCCAGGGCAGGAGCTCACAGTTAGGCTGATCCTGAGGACATGCACACCGGTAGTGGTTGATTTCATTATAACAGATGAGGGGTGCCACACAGGGATCACTAAGACATTCATTTATATCCTCAGTACAGTGTTTCCCTTGATAACCTTGAGGACATTCACATCTGTAGTAGGCATCAAAACTGTGTGTTCTATGGGTGTCATTGCAAGGATAGACACCTGTGGCTGTAACAATAAAAGTTTATGGGAATTGTAAAACTATACTGTCTATTTTTTAATTAAAAGGTAATTCAAAGTCATACATATTGATTAATGAAGAAAAAAAGCTTCAGCTACATGCAAAATCTATCAAAATTTCGTCAAATCAAATTTTTCAATGAGAATTTCTTAACAATCAACTCTTTTTTAGTTAAATTTGAAAAAAAAAAAGTGTTTGAATTGGTATTTCTACTTTGCCAAATACATAAGTATAACGCCTCCTACTTAGTGTTAAATATGGCCTAGGTTCAAGTTTTGGATAGGGCATGTCCCTACATCTTAATAATCTGAGTATGTTAAAACTGGTAAAATGAAAATAGCTAGATTATAAAACTACCTGGTCAATAGTCCATTCCTTGTGATAATAATTGTTTTTGACATTTTTTTTTAAAAATAGTTTTATTACATAGAAATTGATCAGTAAGTATTGACAAATGAGCTTTTTTGAATTATCTGCTTCAAGTGTATCAAGTTACTTTTAAATTAAGAGCTTACGTTGACAAGTTCCCATATTATGACATGGAGATTCCATAATTCCGAACCTGATGGTCACTGGTAGAGATGTACCATTTGAACTGTCCACAAAGATGAAGCTGGTTGTCAAATTTCCAAACTGGTTCATTGGTTGAGAAAACTCTACAGTAAAACTTAACCAGGACATTTTCTCTGCACTGTGAGGCAATTTCTGAGTGAAGTTGATTGCACATGGTTGAGGTATCTAAATGTCCACAAAATACTACTTCATCATCATTTAAATAATTTTTAATATGTTTAAAGTCAATACAGCTGATAGAATACTTTAAATATTAAAGTAATTGAAATGAAGCTAATATATTTTGTTATAGTATTTTTTTTAATTATGTATTGGAAACCAATTTTCATTCACATGCAAGATGTATCTACAAGTTTAGAGACCTTATTATATTTAATTTATTATACAGTTGAACTTCGTTATGATCTGGAACACTGATATCTCGAATACCATGGATATGTCAAAGTGATTTGGAAGTCCCAAACACTTATTCCTTAAGTATTTTACCCTGGGTATCTTGAATCCTTGGATATCTCGAAGTTTTTTCTTGGTCCCTAGTTCTGAGTTTGAGATAACAAGGTTTGACTGTATATTGTATATTTGAATTTTTGTCATCGCGAACCATGCGTGTAATGTGTATTTATGTAATATGTTTTATCTGTTGCAATATTTAATGGTTGGTTTACAGTATTACAATGTGTTGCATAGGGATTTAAGCTTGAAGATGTAAAATTTTGTTTAATATTTTCTTTCTATTGACACCCAAATGCTGGTGTTTTAATTCTAGCAAACATAATTTTTTTTTCTGACTGTATATTATTTACCTTTTAAAAACAATTTCTTTACCGTTTCTTAATTCACACAACCTTATCATGAGCATGAATTCAAAATACATGTATTAAACAAAGGTAATTAAAGATTACAAAGCTAACCTTGACAAATGTTATTATTAAATGTTAGAAAATCAGAGTCTCACATCAAACAAATGATCTGGTACATGTAGAGTGCACACTTAAATAAAACATCTAGACAAGTTTGGTCCAAGTAGGATCTATACATACTTGAAAATGGATCTGCTCCAAAATTTTAACTGTTCAATCATCCTGCAAATGTAGGTGAGGTCCAGCTTACAAAGCATATTCAGATCAGATCTAAACTTCAACCTGTTCATTCACATGGAAAATAAAAATCAGATCCACCATCTGAAACAAGTCTGTAGTGTGCACCATCCGTGCAAGTTTAGCCACTATAGGGCTTATAGTTGCTTGGGAATGAACCTGCTTCAATAAATGTAGGTCGGATCCAACAGCTGAAGCTAGTTTGGTAGTGTGCATCCCTAGATAGAATGGTTCAGGTAGGGCTTTCAGAACTTTATTTGTGAATTAAACTACTCCAAAAACTATGGCTTGTTCACTCATCCTGAAAATGAAGGTTAGATCTAGCATCCAAAGAAAGTGTGGTAGTGCATCCACGCAAGCTTCTTCAAGGTAGTTACTTGGGAACGAACCTGCTGTAAAAACTATGACCTGTTCACTCACCCAGAAAATGTAGGTCAGATCCAGTATCCAAAGCAGGTCTTGTTGTGTGCATCCCTAGATGCATCATGCAAGTTAAGTCCAGATAGGGCTTATAGTTACTTGGGAATGAATCTGCTAAAAAAAATTTAACCTGCTCAATGTAGGTCAGATCCAGCATCTGAAGCAGGTCTGAAACTAGCGCATAAACTCTGAAGCTAACAGCATTGTAAGCCATTACTTATAGAAGGTCTGTATCACTTAAAAATGTCCTTTATGCTTCATTGTACCTGAGCAGTTTTCATTTGTGATATAGATATATTTTTAAAATGCCCTTTAAAAAAAATAATTTTAAACTTTTGATGTAACAGCTATATTTGGAGTTGTTTATATGATGACTTCTATATTAATATGACAAACTTTTAATTAAAAAATGTTAAAGGAAATAAAAATTCAGTTGACACTTGTTCCACATCATTTTATGATTAACAAAAAAATCATCACAGATTTTTCTCATTATGATGTCATAATCAAGTGAGTACAAGAAAGTTGACCAAATCATATAGATTGTTTTAATGATGTCAGCAAACCCATGACCTACATTATTTTTTTTAAATTTAATACTACTCATGTATTGGTTTGGAGGATATTACAAGCACAAAGACATACACTTACAGCATTTGGAACACGTTTTGTACAATCATTGTTAATCTCTGGAATTCTGTTTGTTTGTCCAAAAACTGAGAAGTTTGCTAGAAAAGTTGCAGGAGACTTCAGCTGAATATTATCATGTTTCTCTACATCATAAGCTCCCAGCACAGCCTGCCAGGTATCATTCCATTTTTCAGGATTAAAGTCATTTTTGGCTTCAAGCAAAATCTGAAAAGAATCATACAGAAATGGTTTACAATTGTAAAAGTAGGAATAGTTGTTTCTAAATATTTTCTATACGTACAACAAACATGTCTTCTAGCAATAGAAAAGTTTGATTTAAGATCTACATTATAAATGTCATTAAAAAACACAGGAAATCAAAGATTACAGAGCTCACCTCAAAGAAGGTTAAGTAAAAGTAAGACAAAGTCCAATGAACTAATAATCTAGTAGAGTGCATCCCTAGATGCAACATTTATGCAATTTTAGTCCAGTAGGGTTTTACAGTTACTTGGGAATGGACTTGTCCTTAGAACTTACACAGGTCACTCATCCAGAAAATCAGGTCATATCTAGCATACAAAGCAAGTCTGTTAGTGTGCATCCCTTGATACATCATCCATACATGTTTGGTCCAGGTAGCCTTATAGTCAATGGGAAATGGATCTGCTCAAAAAAACTTAAGGTCAAGATCTAGTAAATGACTTCAGACTAACTTTTTGGTGCTAGATCCATTATGACGTCATAATCAATTTTAACTTTCTTTTTCCCGTACTTTACGGCTCTAGTAGAATTTTGTAGAAAATAAAGTACTTTAATAGAATTCAATTTGAAATCATGTGAAAAGTAATCCCGATACCTATATTTAATTTAATATTAGTTTAAAGAAAAGGCCAAGAACATACAAATTATCGTTTTCTGAGAGACTGTAGGCAATCTGGATGCATTTCTTTGTCTGATATGGAAAAAAACTCCCGTATTCATGACTAGTTTTCTTAATTTTCCATTGAAAATGACAGTTTAAAATATGATTTTTCGTCTTGTTCATCAACAAATTATGCCCCAAAACACCTTATCTGACCAAGCTAAAGTTATAAAGCACCATTAAAGGAATTTATTTCTCAAATTTGAGAAATCTGTAGGCACCTTTCATTTGCTAGATCTTGACCTTAACTGGTCAATCATCTGAATAGCGTACTTCAATCATCCTAAGTACCCAAGGTAAGTCTGTAGTGCGTATCCCTAGATGTATCCTCCATCAAAGTTTGGTCCAGGTAGGGCCTGAATTTACACTGGTATGAACCTGCTGCAAAAACTTACGCATCTTCACTCATCCAACATCTGAAGAAAGTCTCACTCATCCAACATCTGAAGAAAGTCTGATAGGGTGCATCCCTAGATGTTAAATCCATGCAAGCTTGGCGGATAGGGCCTAGAAGTTACACTGGAATAAGCCTGCTCCAAAATTTTAACCTGGTAACTCATCCAGGTCAGATCCAGCATCTGAAGCAAGCCTGGTAGTATGCATCCTTAGACGTATCATCCCTGCAAGTTTGGTCAGTATATGGCTTATAGGTACATGGAAATGAGACCTGCTCCATAAACTTAAACCTGCTCCACAAACATTAACCTGGTCATTCTTTGGCTGAAATTTTATACAGAAACTGAAACTTGAACTGGTACAATGAAATATACTAAAAGCATTGTCCATGCATCCCTGATCAATATAGAGCATAGAAATACTTGAAAAGAAATCTGCTCCAAAAACTTTAACCTTGCACACTGACGCCAAGGTTATTACATAAGCTCCTCCAACTTCTTTGAGGTGAACTTAAAAAAACAATATCCATAAAGGACTGTTATTACTTTTTATTCATAATGTACGTAATACTCACTGTGACAGGTTCGGTTGGATCATCATGAAGTATTGACTGGCCATTGTGAAGCAGGAAAACAATGGGAGGATCATTAATTTCCTCTATATGAATTGCTAGAATGTCTGATGAATTCTGGGGATTAATGTCTACATCTATTTCATACATGACAATATTGATGTATTCTACTCCAGAACAATCCTGGCAGGGACTGTAAGCAAAGCTGAAAAGAAACAGTTAATGTTATAATTACAGTTGTTTCTCAGTCCCTCAAAGTTCAAGGTACCTTAAAAAATGTTTGAGAGATCGAGGGGTTTGAGAGATCAAAAGGGAAAAGAAATCTCGAATTTCAAGTCTGATAATTATGGTTCTCTTATTAAGTTTACTGGAAACACATTTAAACACATTTTCATTCATATTTTACTGGTAATTCACTGATTTCAAACAACAAAATCATATCCTGATTAAATAAGAAAAAAGTCTAACAGTTTCAATATTTAGATGTTTTAATTTTATTACTGTAATGATTAGGTTGTATTTGTTGCAAATAGCATGCCTGATCTCCCACTAGTTCACTAGGTTCTTCAACCTATTGCTGAGTATCTCTATTTCATACTTGAGTTTGGAATTTTGTGCAATGATTGCCTTACTGTGATTGTGTAGAGATAGAACAAAGATTGTAATTTAAGAGAAATTTTTGACACACTTCAAATTAAATTCTCAAAATCATCATTCTCACTTATTGCTAAGGCAAAATCAGCTGAGATTGGCTATCTCAGCTCTGAGACTCTCTGAGTACTCTGAGAGATCAAGAGTACAAAACAATGAAATCTGTGTAATGGGACCCAGGTCTTGGTTCAAAGGATAAGGAACTTCGAGAGATCAGGAGTAAATTTGCCCAGATAGATAGAGGAAAAGATGGGACCAGGTTATACTTTGAGAGATCAAGAACTTTGAGAGAGCAAAGTTAGAAACATCTTGAGTCACCCATATTTAATTTAAATTTAAAGTTTATTATCCTGTCTACTACTAATGACTAAATAGTTAAAATTTCAAATGAAATAGGTTCTCAAGTGCTAAAATGGGTAAAATGAAGTTAATTCTATTTAGCAAACTGTAGAGCAAGTAGGAAACTCCTTGAATCATTATGAAAATTGTAAATACTGAATATTTAAAACAATGTTTGTAAGTTCTAATAATATAATAGCATGTAAATTAGCAGAGAAGAAACCGCTCTAAAGGTAGCAAAGTTTGATTACCTCTAATGTAAGTATGTTTACATATATCACAAAGTGAACATAATTATTCATTGACTTACTATCCTTCTGGAGTCAATGATGCTTCTCCAAACTTTAATATTTGGTCAGGTAGTTTAAAGAGAACAGTATCTCCTTCAGGATCATATGCCACAAGCTGGTAATTCACAATACCTATCAAGTCAAGAACAATGACAGTAGAGATTGTAGGAAGTTAACATCATTCCAATATACAGTCAAACCTGTATTAAGCAGTCACCTACGGGAACCATTAAAAGTGACCTTTATAGAGAGGTGACCTTTGAAAAGAGTCAAGAACAATGACAGAAGAGACTCAGTCTGGAGGAAGTTAACATCATTCCAATATAGTCAGTAAAGTGTTACATACCAGAGTCTTCTAAAAGTGAAATGTTCTTCTGGCAGTTAAGCACAGGTGGTGTATTATGTATTGTTGTTTCTACATCAGCCAAAATAAACATGGTTTCTCTTCTGAAGTATTCTTCTCCTCTTAGGTAGCTGGATCTTCTTTTTCTTAAAATTTCTGTTTCTCTATTATATGTACTGCATACCTATAAGAAATTCACATCTATTAAAATATACTCTGAGAATAAATGGTACAAAATATATAAAACCCTTTCTATTCAAGTAGTTTCTTTGTAACATGAATTTGATTAAAAAAAGTATTTATATATCTTTGAATGAATCTAAAAGTATACCTTAACAGTCATTGTTTGTGTGTTTGGATCATACACCTCTTGTTCCTCTGCAGTTAGATGAGTGCAAGTCTTACTGCTGATCTCCCAGTACTGCATGACTTTACAAAAATATACAAGTTAAAGTGCATCTTACAGGCATTTGTTATTATTGTTTTCATTTTCACCTTGTTTCCTTTACTTGAACTGAACAAAACATTGCATAATTCTTGGTTTATTAAATTGTTGCCCCAACCTGGACTATGCCACACATTGAACCAACTTAGAAAGTTTACATTTCTGAACTCAGTACAAAATTTAACAAGCATGTCAAAATGCATCCTTGAGTGGGGGATTTTGTTGTTCCTAACAGTGTACATTTTCCTAATGCCAAACTTAAACCTAAATGTTGTCCCATTATAGCCCAGGGAACCATGATTTGAATATGGTTTATCTACACTTCATTTCAAGACTAAGTCTTGCAAATCACTCTGGTCCTGTTGATCATGAAAAGGGAGAGTAAAAATTTTTTTTCCTGTTTAAAGGTTTGACTGACTATTAGTCATAAACCATACCCTTGTCCATTCAAGAATTTTTCAATCTTATAGAGATGTCACCATATGTCAGTGAAGGGCTTCAAATTTAGACCTATACTTGGCACTCAGGACCATTGAGCAGTGAGGGTTCTTTATCATGCCAACACCTACCGTGACCTCACTTTTTATGGTTTCATCTGAAAGACCTGTGACTTTCGCTTCTAGTGCCAGGAGCTTGGCAAAGGAACAGTCACTACCTATGTTTACTTCTTAGGTATGACGTGGAGCGGTGAACGAGAATCAAACCAGGGCGTTCTGATCATGAAGTGAGTGCCCTAAAACTAGGCTACTATGACCAGTCACGATGATTTGAAAAGTTATCTGAATTTACATATGAAAAAGTAGCTTTATTAAATAAAGTTTTGAATCATAGTTAATTCATTTTTTAGTATATAATTAATCATTATTTAGTTAAATATCCAGCATACTAATAGTTCTGAAAAGATTGACAAGGACGGACAATTTGGATATAGTGAATGATTTTGTTTGACCCGAAATAAAACAGATTATGAGTATAAATCATGCATCTTCACTTGCCCCATCCTGGGGACTGAATCCTGAGGATATGTAATACCAAGGAGGTACATTGCCCATTACAATCATGCAGATTTTTTGCAAGATATTCCGTTTTTAAAAACAGTAGATTTTTTTTCATCTTTTAAAGTTTGATCTTACTCTAAAGCCTCATTGGAATACAGACCTTGAATTTAACCTTTTTTGTTTCCCCTGTATCTAAAGATTTATACCAAATTGGTCAAAAAATTGTCTATTAATAGATTTTCAATGATATGTATTGTACATTGGATGGGAATGAATAGCAGCATACTGCAATAGATCACCTAAACAAAAGGGGGAAATGGGTATAAGTGTGTCTCCAATAACAGGTCATTCAAAAAATCTCACCTGGATTCCAATGAAGTAAAACTGTTCTGTTTCCATTATGGATTCCTGTCACAGCATTTGGATATAAGAATGTTAAAGGTCCAGGCATTGGAACATTTCCAAGTGATACAAAGGAGAAGGCAAATTTCTGTCCATGCATCCTGGTAATCATATGATCATGTTTATATACAAATATTGCTGTCTCTCGACCTCCTTAGTATTAGAAATTATTGGAAATTTCTTCCCTGTCAAAATTCATGATTTAATTAAGGCAATTTTATTTTCACACACTTCTCTTTGTTATACCTCTTATACAGAAGCCTTTGGACCATGTCATTGGAGGTTGCTGGGTCTTGTATGTAAGGTACAAAGTTAGTGGAGGCATCAGAACTGTAGGTAGTCTCCAGATCTTTCTGTGTCAGCTTTGTAACAATTATTGACTGTCCATCTGCTAAACCTATATACATAAACATGAATACAGTCAAACCTCATAATCTTGAACTCCATGGGACTGAGAAAAAACTTCAAGATATCCAAGGATTCCAGATATCCAGGGTAAAATACTTAAAGAATAAGGAATTGGGACTTCAAAATCACTTCAACATATCCATGGCATTCGATATCCGTGTTCGAAATACCGAAGTTCAACTGTATATAGGCATATGTGTGTATATGTACTGTAATATACATGTACATTAATCTGCCACTTGGAGTTAGATTTACCTTACTATACCTTAATTAACTTACCATTTGGAGTTGAGATGTCAAGGTCATTTGTAGATCTCTTTCTGGCAGCGAGTGAGAGCCTCTCTTTGATGGCTGTACCATTAGTGGAGGTCGTGATCACAGATTCACTGTTGGTGATTACTACAACTCCAAGACTCTTGTTGGTACACAACATGGCTTCATTGCACAGTCGCATGGTGACAAACATCTGTTTGCCTACTGGCATCAAAAAATGGTTATTTTCAAGGTATGTTAGGTTTGAATAGTCTTGTACTGGCTTTAGTTCTGAAATCCTTGTCAGTTTTTTGCCATTTATCCACAATGATCCATTTCTGATTATAGCAGACCCAGACATGTTGTAACCAACCCAAGTACATGGAACTATATCATCTGTGTTTTCTTCAGATCCAACACAAAGATCTGTATATAACAAAATAAGATTTCAATCATGATATTAATTCCTTATACTTAATCAATGTTTCTGAATTCAAACACAGGTTTACATTGTTAAAAGTTAACATACATATTATCAACACTGTATTATCACAATTTACAGTCCTTTTCCCACTATTCCTTATCATACAGTATATACAAAGAGTATGTCACATCTTTCCGTGACCATACCATATCTATTGACAGAGGGATCATCTGATTTTGTGAAGGTGATGCCCACAGTGGTTGGATCGTGCTGTTGCCAAGAATCTTTTGGGGAGACCTCCTCTGTGAAAGGGATTGTTCCTGGGATAGTTGTGTTCACAGATTCTACTTTTGGAGGAATTAGAGTCACTATCACACCTTTAGTATCGGTGTAGACTGCAGTATGACCAGCCCCATTAGTACAAGTAATGGTGGCGTAGTAGGTCTGGTCATGCTCTAGTATTCCCGCTAGCTGGTCATTGATTCCTACAACATTCTGCCCTGTAGATGTGAAGTTCTGGATATCTGTAGATCCTGGAGTTGTTCCTATAGCCCAGGTATATTCCTATAAAATAATTTAAAATCAATATTATGATACACTTTTTTCAAGACAAGAAAAAGGTGCTTAAATGATTATTAAATTCAACTTGATAGAAAATTATATTAGCTCACCCAAAATATTTTCATATATGCTATGCATATGAATAAGTGCACGATTAGGTATATGCACTCATACAACTAATAATATGTTTAGAACAAACAAGTGAAAACTGATTATACAAACCACAACTCCACTTTCATCATCATCACACTTCCATATACATTTAATTGTGTGGTTTGACTTCTGATAGTGAGCTGGTGTGCTTTCGCCTTGTCCAACATCAATATATAAGGCACTTTCCATGAGTTCAAGGTCATATTTAGGAGGGGTGTCATCCACATAGAAGCCATCAGATGAGGCAATGGCTGTGTCCCCAGATCCACTTGTACCTCTCACTTATTAAGTAAATAACCCCATTTAATAAAAGTAACTTCACTGTAGATCGTAACAAAGGTTCAAAGCAAGGCATTCTATTTGGCAGTTTCAAAACCTAGCAAATTGTAATAAATACCTGTAAGGTAGTATGGGATAGGTTCTTCTGATGGATGTCCAGTCTCATTATAGATTGTTCTTTTAGAGGGTAAGCTTATATTGGTCAGGGTAAAGATCTTCTGAACTGTCACTGTGGCATTACAGTTGGAATCACAGCCATAATGGGAACATTCTCCATAACAGGGAATGCAGGGGTGATCAATCTACAAAAGAATACCTTTATTTACAAAAAAAAAAAAAAAAGAACCTTACTTCACAATAGTTTTATAATACATGTATGTAGCAAAATACTTTCTCAGAGGGTAAAGCCATTCAGTGAATCAATTCTAACAAGTTATACCGGTGTGAAATCCACTGCATCTGTTGATAATGGAGATGTTCCAATTCCAGCTTCATACAACATGATAGGATTAGTATAACTGATGAACTGAGGACCAGATCTACACAAGGTTCCTACAGTGGGGGGCATCACTAGGCCAGACAGAGAAGCTTTGGCTGACCAGACACTGAATCTGTCTTCATGTGGTGGAATCTCATTGTGTCTCTTGAAGACATGGAAAAATAACAAGGCGTTGGTGGACAACTGTGGAACATCACAGATTTCATTGATAAAGTCTTCCTCCACATACACCATCATGCACCATTTTGTCTGTAGTAAAAGAAAATATAATCCAAAACAAATTCTACAAGAAAAATGTTGCGTGTCTTGAAGGTTAATAATGTTGTGTGTCTTGAAGGTTAATACTAACTTTTAATAGACTGTTTCAAGAAAATTAACTGCGATACCTGCTCTTTTGCAGAGCAAAATGATAAATTTTGGTGAAATATGACATAAAAGCAATTGTCTAATATACGTCATTTAATTATCTGTCATCAAAAACTTCGCCAAATATTATAAATATGCCCTGGAAAAGAGTAGTACCTGTTATCATGAAAGGACTATATTAAATGTTCACCTTTTTTAATACTTACAGACAGGGAATCTTCATTCTTAACAACAAAATCAATCTTGTAGTTATAGTAATCATCACTGGGATTGATTTGGATTTCTGTCATTAACTTGCTCATTGGTCTGGTATTGTTAAAATAACGACACCAAGACACAATAAAGGCACTTGTATCGGTATGGTTATCAGCTACAAAACAAAGGGTGAAAAAAGTTTTGCAGTATACATTCAAACCTATATTAAGCAACCTATCAATGGAAATTCTAAAACTGTCATATATGACAGTTAAAGCAGAGAATCTATTTTCAAAGTACATGCATGAATAATGAAAACAGTCACAAGTTGTTACAAGAAATACACCTGTGAAATATGAAAGCCATAGCACCAACTGTTCAAAAGTTATGGCCAAAGTTAAAGTTATTCAAAATGAGATCAGACTTAAAGGTCAAAATTGTTGTTGCCCAGAGAAAGGTCTTGTCACAAAGAATACACATGTGAAATATGAAAGTCTTAGATCAAACCGTTAAAAAATTAGGGCCAAGGTTAAAGTTGTAAATTTTGAAATTTTGTGTAAGTGTAAAGAATGAGTGCACTTTAGTACGTCATTTGGAACCTTTTCGGCTACCCATTTTAAGCTTTACATTACAATATATCACTTAATTAATCTATGATTATTGTGCAAGTATATTCTTTTGATATTTATTCCTTGAATTTTTTGTCAAACATATTTCTATAATTACAGACAATGTCATTGAAAAGAACATGTAGAAGCCTTAAATTCCAGAAATTTGAACGGGACCACTTTCGTATTTAAGGTATCCGCAAATAGGCGGAGACATTTAAATTGCATGGATGTGGAATGTAAACATTAGCACATATAATTTTTTTTTCGCACTGTGAATTTAAATGGAGAAGAGAGAGATTGTGTAGTTTCATGGTGCACAAATAATAAAAGATTCTAGTGTTTAGGGATGGGGAAGATGTCTCGCCCTGCAGACCATTATACAGAGGCGACATGAGCCTGTACATGTACAACTTACTTACTAATCACACTGTCAATGCCAGAATTCTTTCAAAACACCCCTAATGAAAAAATACAAAGTAAAATAAGAGACATATAATCTTCAAACCCTATTAAAATTTGCGCAAATATCTTCCATAGTTTGAAGTTGGAAGTACGATAGATACTGTCACAATAGAAACTTTCAATGACAAACACAATGAAATATTCAATGAAAGCCTTAGCGTATCGAACAGTGGAATGTCACGTGAGTAAAGTGATTATAATATCAATCGTTGACACTCGGTGAACTGTTAATTTAGTGGCTAATTCGACCGTAGTTTGGAGACTTTTTCAAAAAATTAGATATGAGCCGCAATTTGTCCAACATTGTCCTTTGGATATGTTGAAGTTTAAATTAAAATACACATTCTGTGCAAATGAGACCAATGGACAAGTTGCGGCTCGATGTAAACAATGTCTTTGAAAACTGGTATGCATATGAATAACAAAAGAAATGTGACAAAACTGTTAGACCCCCGTCTCAAAAGCTAGTGTCACTCGGCATTATTTAATACTTTCATGTAATATAATATACCAAAACCTGCTCTTAAGACATTGTTTAATACCTATAAAACATAAAGTTTATGAACTTCGGAATTTTATTTTGCGCAAAACACTGGGACCCAACTCTCATAGCTTAAGTGCACTCATCCTTTAGTTTTTAAAAGAAAATCCCAAACAATTTTATTGTGTTTCACACTTTCATGACAGTGTCAAGGATAAAATCTACTCATGACAAGATAATGTAAGAAAGGGAAAAACGAAACACTACAATAGTCATAAAGAAAACATTCAGTTAATTTTCTAGGAACAGTCGAGATCTCTAAATTCAGGGTCTTTAACTGCTTTGGGATGAAAAATGATAGTTGCATGTTGCATTAGACAAGTCGCTGAATGCAGGTAAGAGATAATGAAAAATTCTTGGGAGGAAATTTAATGGTCATATACAGGAAGTTGCTAAATAGAGGTGGTCATCACTGTATAATATGTTTGACTGCACAAAAATTACTTTAATTGTTGAAAATTCTCCAAAGGTATGTGTATTAAAATAATTTATAATATAAATTGGACAGTATCATCATGCCAGCATAGTTTGAACCCATAATTTACCAGAGTAGATTTGTATTCCACAAGAGTCATAAGCCAGACTTTGGATTGTCTCTGGTTTATCAATAACACTGGAGCCCTGTTCATCCACCACATCATATGGCGGATAGGTTCTGTTGTCCGGGGCCTGTGTCGTGGTGGTGGTTGTGATGAAAGTCTCATTCAAAAGAAAACCTTTGTTAAGAATGTAATCTGTACAGTTGCAGCCTTCACACATCTGAAAAAAAATAACATCAGAGACACTCATTTGTTTATGCCCTACTAGAGCTGTGAGTACTGCTGATATATCAAAATATATCAAAAGTCTGATATATTTTACATCATTAATTATGTCTTACATATTAAAACACATGGGAAAGTGTCTTATCTGGAATCAGTATAAACAATGAACTTTAATGTACATGTATAAGTAATCTTGTGATCTTAAGAATGTTTAATTGATCTTTAAGGATCTAATAGTTCTTTGATACAATGATATATCTGCATGGTCATGTTCATTCATGATATGACATTATTGACATATGATCAGCATTAGCAAATATCAATATAACGACTTCAGACTTGCAAAGTTTTATTAAAATAGGGGAAATAACTGTGCTTCTATCACTGCTATACACTAGGTAATCAAAGACAACATAGCTCACCTCAGCTTTTTAATATGTGAGGCAAAGTCTCATACAAAATGAATATTCAAGTAATATGCAATCCTAAATGCAATATCCCTGCAAGTTTGGTCTGGGTAGCTATTTAAATAGACATGCTCCAAAACTTGCAACTGTTCAATCAACATCATCTGGAAAATGCAGGTCAAAGGCATCATCTGCATTATGCAGTGTCTGAAGCAAGAATTGCAAGAGTAGGACTTGTATATCATTGATAATGAACCTGCTCCAAAAACTTCAGCCTGTTCAATAATGTAAGAAATGTAGAACCAGATCTAGCATCCCGAAGCGTGTATGATAGTTTGATCCTTATATGCATCATCCATGCAAGTTGAGTCTGGGTAAGACTTAATAGTTACTTGGGATTAGGCCTGATCAAAAACATTAAGCTGTTTACTCATCCAGAAAATGTAGGTCAGATTCAGCATCCAAAGCATATCTAGTAGTCTTCGCACCTAAAGGCATTACCCACGCAAGATTGGTCATAATACTGCTGTCAGTACTTGCTAATGGATCTTCTAAAATTTTACTTTGGAATTCCAACAACAGGGAGTATAGCAATAAGCTCAACTTCTCCCAAGTACTGTAGTAAGCTTAAAATGGCAGTTCATTTATGATGATACTCAATATTTAAATCTCCAAATTTCTTCAATTTCTATCCTAGAGTATGGATATTTAGATTTGAATCATATTGTATTAAGTGTATGGAGTTATAAATCATACTGTGTGGTATGTATATCATACATATATATTACATATACAGTGATCATGAAAAATTATCCTTTTGTAACATATAGGTCCAAAAAGCAACTTCAATCATGTGCTTTTTTGTGGCTTGACCATGTCTAAATGCCATGACCTCACATTACTTCTTGGCATTGTCTGGACAACATAATGTGAATAAAGTTAAACCATTAAGATTCATTAGATTGGTTTAACACTCCCATCGTGAGAGATACGTAAATAAAAATACCATTTCTTTTGCTCATTTGTTGTTTTTTTTTTTATGATCTTAAATGTAATTCATTTCAAAAAGTCTTTAAAGTTCTCTTGTTCAATACATTAGGAATAAACTACAGATCAAGTACCTTCGGAATTGGATTATCATAACAGCATCCACATCCCAAAAATTCTTTCTCCACGGTGTACTTAAATGTTGCAAATCCTTTCTCTGGACCATCCCAAAATAGAATCTCTGTAACAGCATCTCCAGCTTTATCTGCTGCTCTAAGTCTAAGCTGTATAAACAAATAAAAGTAAATTTAATTTTTTTCTTTGCAGAAAATAATTTCAATAAAATTATCATCGACAACTTTAACAAGATGTGTTTGTGAAACACTGATGCCCCCGTATGGCAGCTTATGGCGAAGGTTAAAGTTTCTTCAAATGCAAGTCAAAATCCAGGTCAAAAGATAAAAAATGTTGATACCCAAAGAAAGGTCTTGTCTCGAGGAATACACCTGTGAAATTTGAAAGACCTAGATACAACTGTTCAAAAGTTATGGCCAAGGTTAAAGTTTTTCAAAAGGAGGTCAAACTCCTAGGTCAAGGTCAAAGGGTCAAAGTGGTTGGTATCCAAAGGAAGGTCTTGTCACAAGGATTTCATATGTGAAGTATGAAAGCCCTAGCATCAACCATTCAAAAGTTATGGCCAAGAGTAAAGTTTTTCAAAAGTAGGTCAAACTCCTAGGTCAAGGTCAAAGGGTCAAAGTGGTTGGTATCCAAAGGAAGGTCTTGTCACAAGGATTACATATGTGAAGTACGAAAGCCCTAGCGTTAGCCATTCAAAAGTTATGGCCAAGGTTAAAGTTTTTCAAAAGTAGGTCAAACTCCTAGGTCAAGGTCAAAGGGTCAATGTGGTTGATATCCAGAGGAAGGTCTTGTCACAAGGAATACACATGTGAAGTTTGAAACCCTAAGCACCAACTGTTCAAAAGTTATGGCCAAGGTTAAAGTTTTTCAAAAGAAGGTCAAACTCCAAGGTCAAGGTCAAAAGGTCAAAGTGGTTGGTATCCAAAGGAAGGCCTTGTCACAAAGAATACACATGTGAAGTTTGAAACCCCAAGCACCAACTGTTCAGAAGTTATGGCCAAGGTTAAAGTCTCATAAAATTTTGCAAAAGTGGGTCAAACTCCAAGGTCAAGGCCAAAAGGTCAAATATGATGGTATCCAAAGAAAGGTCTTGTCACAAGGAATACACATGTGAAATATGAAAGTCATAGCTCCAACCAATCAAAAGTTATGGGCAAGATTAAAGTTGACAACAGACAGACAAACAGACAAACAGAAAAACAGACAAACGGACAAAAAGTCATAGCTCCAACCAATCAAAAGTTATGGGCAAGGTTAAAGTTGACAAAAGACAGACAGACAAACAGACAAACGGACAAACAGACAAACGGACAAACAGATAAACAGACAAACAGACAGACAGGACAAAAACAATATACCCCCGGGATCTTTTGATCCGGGGGCATAAAAATGTAAAGAGTCAAGTATTTAGTATTAGATCCTTCAAGAGGTGGATTAGACACTACATTTGTCACAGCTATTGTTGCATTAACAATTTATTATAACTAAATCACTTTTAGTACAATTTTGTTTTATGAAGAGTGAGTTGATTATTGACATGTGTGTAACCTTGATCTTTGAATATGCTGTTGGTTAACAAAGGTTGAATGAGAAAAATACATGAATAAACCCTTACTAGAATATCTTATAATAATTGTTTACTTCAGTCTCAATTATAATTAGAATTGGAATCCAAAACCCTTTTTATTAATGTGCATCTGGAACCTTAGCAAGATGGCACCAAAAGTGAAAGTGGTTATCAATTGAATACAGACATACATTTACATAAAGTGAATCATACTTTGTATGTGCCTCCATTATAAAGTTCTGCTCTTCTGTAGATAGCACCTGATCCAAATATTGGGTGGTCTGTGGCATCCTTGGTAAGTACTAGTTTGATCTGAATTTTGTCCTCAACTGCTGCTGGAATCACATATTTTTCATCATACTTAATTTTCCAAAATTCCCCCTCATCATCCAGCATGCCAAGGTGGTGCAAAAACTTCCAAGTAGGGTCTTTGATTCTGATTATTTGATTAGGACAGGGATTTTCTTGGAGTGTTGGATTAGCAAAATGAAGAAAGGTCCCTGCAAAGTATACAGTCAAACCTGTATTAAGAGACCTTCCAACGGAGAAAGGAAAAAAGGTCACATATGACAGGTGGTTTCTTAATACAGGTTGCTTATTTTCCACAGTGTTCAAGTATACAATGCTGAAAATATTATAAAATAATGTATGTGGAATCTATATCATATCATGTATAATTGTATATTTTCGCTTTTAAATAAGTACTGCTCAACTGCAAATACTTGTATATTATGGGGCACAATCGTCATATTCGGTAATAAAATTTGAGCTTGATCCATCTGTGATTCATTTTGATTATTGGAAAATATTGAACATCTGAAAATATTCAGATTTCTTTACACATCATAAAAAAGCTGTAGAGAATTTTTTAAAAATAATTTTTATAAATTTGTTTTTACGTGATAGCCTAGGATATAACTTCGTATGTTCTGCACATTACTAAGAATTAAAACTGTATCATGATTTTCGTTATGAATTTGGTAACAAATAAAATTATATGATATTAGATACTTCAAATGCAGTATAACAATGCTGTAAAATTACAGTCAAACTTCGGTATCTCGAACACCTTATATCTCTGGACATATTGAAGTGATCTGGAAGTCCCAACATCTTATTCTTTTAGTATTTTACCCATCTTGGTCCCATTGAGTTCCAGATAACGAGGTTTGACTGTATATATAGTGCAAGTTTCATAGACCTAGGAAGTGATTTAAGTTTATTTGTATTTCTAAGCCTTACCGTAAACTTCAGTTGTGTCTGAAAACCATAAAACATCTGTCTGATAATCCTTTCCATCTTTAACCACTCCAGCTTTAGGTTTGGTATTATCAAGTAAAACTGGTGGAGTGTGAGCTATACTTGATATTCCTGCACAATTTGTTGCTCGTAATTTTACAAAATAGGTTATATTTATCTGACAACATAAAAGAAAAACAGTTTTAAATAAAAGATCTATATTTCCATGATTTTCATATTGTAAAAGGTTTGTCCAGTAAAATAGTTGACATCACATTTTTATCAAAAAATAATGCACACACTGATCTGAAACTTTCAGCAAATGTTTATTTATCATATTTAAGTGAATCTTCCTGTTTTTAATAAATTATATTTAAAAACCAGAAGTCTCTGATGAGACTGTAGCTCTACTGGTCTGTACGTATAACAAAAGAAAAGTAGCACTTGGATTTGAAACTTTGCAACAAGCAACAATAAACAGAATTATGTATCTTAATGTAGTCTACTTCCGTGCCAAGTTATATTGAAATCAAACGAAAACTGTAGGAGGAGTAGCGTTTTAGTAACCATGACAACATTATTCACCGAAATAAAAAAAAAAAACGGAAATACATATTATGTATCGTAGTGTATTCTAATTGTGTGCCAAATTAGATTGAAATCAGACCAAAACTGTAGGAGGAGTAACGTTTTATGGGAATTTCACAAAAAATTCTATTTTAAGTAATCATGGCAACACTGTTCATCGAATTCAAAAACCGATGCATTAAATTATGTTTCTTAGTATTATCTTCTTGTATGCCTAATTATAGTAAAAGCAGACTAAAACTGTAGGAGGAGTAGATTTTTAAAGTAATTTCACAGAAATTTCTATTTTTAGTAACCATGGCAACACCGTTCATCAAAATCAAAAACCGATGCACTAAATTATGTATCTTAGTGTAGTCAACTTGTGTGCCAAGTTATATTGAAATCAGACCAAAACTGTAGGAGGAGTAGCATTTTAAAGGAATTTTACAGAAATTTCTATTTTTAGTAACCATGGCAACACTGTCCATCGAATTCAAAAACCATTGCACTAAATTATGTATCTTAGTGTAGTCTACTTGTGTGTCAAGTTATATTGAAATCGGACCAAAACTGTAGGAGGAGTAGCGTTAAAAGGAATTTCACAGAAATTTCTATTTTTAGTATCCATGGCAACACTGTTCATTGAAATCAAAAACCGATGCACTAAATTATGTATCTTAGTGTAGTCTACTTGTGTGCCAAGTTATATTGAAATCAGACCAAAACTGTAGGAGGAGTAGCGTTTTGAAAAATTGTTCACAGACAGACAGCTAGACAGACAGCTAGACAGACAGACGGACGACGGACACCTTACTATCGCATAAGCTCTTCTGGTCTCTGACCAGTAGAGCTAAAAACCATAAAGACAATTATGTACCTTAGTGTAGTCTACTTGTGTGCCAACTTATTTTGAAATTAGACCAAAACTGTAAGAGGAGTAGCGTTTTGAAAGTATTTCACAGAAATTTCTATTTTTAGTTACCATGGCAACACCGTTCATCGAAATCAAAAACTGATAAACAGAATTTTGAACCTTAGTGTAGTCTACTTGTATGCCAAATTATATTGAAATCAGACCAAAACTGTAGGAGGAGTAGCATTACAATTTGTTTACAGACAGACAGACGGACGACGGACACCTTACTTTTGCATAAGCTCTTCTGGTCTCTCACCAGTAGAGCTAATAAGGATTTTATTATACTTGAATTTGCACAGGGTATGGCCCTACAGTGCACGACCAAAATATCAGGGTTTTACCAGATAATGTTAGAGTACCATTTTGAAATAAAAGTATTAAGGGTCCTCCACACCCCGTGACTTGTGACGTATATCGAGAAAAAATACTATTACTTCCGGTTTTATATTGTTTATGCACTGACGATTTGCCTGGCACCGCCTGTAAGAGAGTCTTTGAAACGCTTTAGAGATAAAGGTTTGTCAAGGGAAAAGTATGCAGTAAACTGAAAGCGACACCCTAATCATAAACAATGAACACATGGCATGATCACGGATTGACCGATAGAAAAAGATTTCCATTGTTTTTAAATAAAAGGACAACAGACCTTTGGGTGTATGTTGCATTATAACAGGTACCGGTATAACGAGAAAAGTTAAAGTTTTTTTTTTTTTTTTTTTAATACTTTTAGGCTAATAAACCCATTGCCATATTGTCAACAAAGTCTGTGTTGAAAGTTGATAGTTGTGCGTTTCAGTAAGACAACTCATTGTGTGTTTATAAATATTGATAAATAGTGTGCATTCCTAGTTTTGCTCATTTCTATCTGTCCAGTTCAGTAGTCAGTAATGAGTAACTTGAGTATCATGACGTATGCGGAGACTTACCAAAGTTTTTGAGTCCCGGGCAACAGGAAAGATAACTCTTAAAAGGAACTTTGATACCAAAGATTTTGAAAATAATTTTTCTGCATCAGTGAATTTGATTTTAATTAGGTCTTCCGTTTTCAACGGAAGACCTATATTGATTCTACTGTTTCTTATTATTATTAAGGTCTTCCGTCTTCACGGAAGACCTTATAGTGATTCTACTGTTTCTTATTATTATTATTATTAGGGTCTTCCGTCTTCAGCGGAAGACCCTTCTATTATTCTTATGTTTCTTTTTCACTTTTATTATTATTCTTCTTTTTTTTCTCCTTACCGATTTTGTGCAGAAGATTTCTCGGAGATGAATTGATCGATTTACTTCAAATTTTCAGAGTTTATGTCTTATCATCTGAAGTTTGTACCGGCAATTCAAAATTTGAAAAATCACTTCCGGTCGGAAGTTATCGCCCTTTTATTAAAATTCAGAGGACCTCCTTGTCTGCGATGGAACTCAAAAACGGCTTAAGCTAGAGCGCTGAAATTTTCAGTGATGATAGAGGACATGTTGCCATTATGCACCTGGGTTTAGATATTTTCCGGAAGTGCCTAGTATGGAAGCTCGGTAGGGGTCGAAATTTAGGACATGAATCATGAATGAATTTTTGAGACATTTTGTATCATATCTTTTAAAGTATAATTATTTTGTTAAAACATACTGAACAATATTTGTGCAGAATGACAAGATCTTTAATACGATATCAAGAAAAAAGGGCTGTCTTATCATATTAGGGGCCGAGAGGGGCCGAAAGTATTAAATCAATTACTCTTTAACGATCAATATTTTGGTATACATTACTGAAGCAAAAATGTTTATCTTAACAATTTACAGCTATATATTATAATATTTTTGTCATATGTTACATAATTAGGGGCCATAAGGGGCCAGAATGCTTAATCTTTGACGATTTATATCTCGAAAAGGGGAAACATTTTGAAAAAGAATATTGAACAAAAGTTGTTTAAAATGATGTTCTCAACAATGTTCATCCTTTTAATTTTTCCTAAACAGCCCCTATAAGGACTTAAAGGGACGGCCCCTTAATATTTCAAGTCTACATATCTCTTAAAGGAAAGGAAATTTCTGAATAGTTGTTGAACAGAAAGTCTTCAAAATTACAAGACCTTTTATGTGATATCAAGAAAAAGGGGCTGACCCCTAAAATTAGGGGCTCAGAGGGGCCAAAAGTCTTTCATCTATAACTCTTTAATGATGAATATTTTGTTATAAGTTATTGAAGCAAAAATGTTTATCTTAACATTCTGCAACTATATATAATAAAATTTTGATCATATGTTACGTAATAAGGGGCCATAAGGGGCCAGAATGCTAAATCTTTGACCCATTATATCTCGAAAAGGGGAAATATTTTGATAAGCAATATTGAACAAAAGATGTTCAGAATAATGTTCTAAACAATATACACCCTTATAATTTTTGCAAGACATCCCCATTAAGGAGTTGGAGGGCTGGCCCCTAAATATTGTTATTCTACATATCTCTTAAACGAAAGGAAATTTCTGAATAGTTGTTGAACAAAAAGTCTTCAAAATCACAAGACCTTTCATTTGATATCAAGAAAAAGGGGCTGACCCCTCAAGTTAGGGGCTCAAAAGGGCCAAAAGTCTTTCATCTATAACTCTTTAATGATGAATATTTTGTTATAAGTTATTGAAGCAAAAATGTTTATCTTAACATTCTGCAACTATATATTATAAAATTTTAATCATATGTTACGTAATAAGGGGCCATAAGGGGCCAGAATGCTAAATCTTTGACCCATTATATCTCGAAAAGGGGAAATATTTTGATAAGCAATATTGAACAAAAGATGTTCAGAATAATGTTCTAAACAATATACACCCTTTTAATTTTTGCAAGACATCCCTATTAAGAACTTGGAGGGCTGGCCCCTAAATATTGTTATTCTATATATCTCTTAAACTAAAGGAAATTTCTGAATAGTTGTTGAACAAAAAGTCTTCAAAATCACAAGACCTTTTATTTGATATCAAGAAAAAGGGGCTGACCCCTCAAATTAGGGGCTCAGAAGGGCCAAAAGTCTTTCATCTATAACTCTTTAATGATCAATATTTTGTTATAAATTACTGAAGCAAAAATGTTCATCTTAACACTCTGCAACTATATATTATAAAATTTTGATCATATGTTACGTAATAAGGGGCCAGAATGCTAAATCTTTGACACTTTATATCTCGAAAAGGGGAAATATTTTGATAAGCAATATTGAACAAAAGATGTTCAGAATAATGTTCTAAACAATATACACCCTTTTAATTTTTGCAAGACATCCCCATTAAGGACCTGGAGGGCTGGCCCCTAAATATTGTTATTCTATATATGTCTTAAACGAAAGGAAATTTCTGAATAGTTGTTGAACAAAAAGTCTTCAAAATCACAAGACCTTTTATTTGATATCAAGAAAAAGGGGCTGACCCCTCAAATTAGGGGCTCAGAAGGGCCAAAAGTCTTTCATCTATAATTCTTTAATGATGAATATTTTGTTATAAATTACTGAAGGAAAAATGTTTATCTTAACACTCTGCAACTATCTATTATAAAATTTTGATCATATGTTATGTAATAAAGGCTATAAGGGGCCAGAATGCTAAATCTTTGACGCTTTATATCTCGAAAAGGGGATATATTTTGATGAGCAATGTTGAACAAAAGATGTGCAGAATAATGTTTTAAACAATATGCAT